CAGGGAAGAGCAAGGCCCACCCGTGTCAGCCAGGGAGAGGCCAGCCAGCCAAGGTGGTGGCCCTGGGCTGTGGCTGGTCAGAGACAAGGTCAACCACTCCTATGTGCAGGAATCAGATGGGAACCCTATCTGAGCAGGTGGGCATGAATACAGGACAGGTGGGTGAGGGAGCCTGAGCTTGGGACACCCTACCTACAGACCTGGTCCTCGGTGCTCGGGCCTGCCCAATGCGCATTTGCCAACCAAAGCCTGGCTGAAATGCTGTTTATTTCTCAGAGATCAATATTTAGCCCCTAATTCAGGTCCCATTAGGCAGGATCTGGATCTCCTGGGATGAAGAGGAATTTTATCACCTGCAGACACTTAAGAACGTGTCATTTCCAACAGTTATTCTTTTAAACAGTACAATAGAACCCCTTATCTTCTGGAGATAGGTTGAAGGACCTCCTGTAGAAGCTTGAAATTGTAGATACTACAGCACTAAACTCTACATATACTAGTTTTTCTATATATGCCTACTTATGATAGAGTTTAATTTATAAATTAGGCACAGTAAGAGATTAACAATTAGTAATAATGAAATAGAACAATTAACTATACACTATAATAAAACTTATGTGATTATGATTTCTTTCTCTCTTGAAATATTTTATTATACCTTTGCTTTTTTCAGTTAAAGGAAACTTGACTTCTCTTTAGTACATTTAAGATGCTAGCATTGCTACCTTGTGCTGCAGGGCCAATAGCAAGTAAAGGGTCAGCTGAACACAAGTACTGTGGACAGTGAATCTGATAACCCAAACGGCTACTAAGTGGCCAGTGGGAGAATAGTGTACATCGTGTGAGTACACGGATGAGGGGTGCTCCCAGGCCAAGTGAAACTGAACAGGATGGCTCAGAATCCCACTGCACTTAAGAATTATTTCAGGAATTCTCCATTTAATATTTTCAGGCTATATTTGATCAAGGGTAACTAAAACCCCAGAAAGGGAAGCTGAGAGCCAAGCATGGTGGCACACAACTGTAATCCCAGCACTTGGGAGGCTGAGGCAGGAGGATTGACATGAGTTCAGGGCTGGCCTGAACTACACTGTGAGACCCTGTCTCAAAAAAACAAAACAAAGGGGCCAGGGACTTAGCTCAGTGGTTCCTCCACCTGCCTTGCAAGTGCAAGGACCTGAGTTCAATCCCTGGTACCAAACAAACAAAACAAAACAAAACAAGGGCTGGGAATTTGGCTCTGTGGTTCTGCCTCCTGCCTCACAAGCACAAGGTCATCAGTTCGATCCCTGGTACCAAAAAACAAAAATAAAAACAAAAAAGGAGAACCCCTTAGTGTCAAATAGGAACAGAGACTGAGCACTGGGGGCCAGAGAAGGAAAGGCCACAGCAGTTACTTTCTCTAGCATTTTAGCTCACATCACTCAGAAAAACCAGGGTCAAAGGTTCATCGGGATCCTGCCCTTTAAAGGGCATGACCTTCAGCTAGGGTCGGGATCTGAGTCCCCCTTCCCTAAGCAGTTTATTCAAATATTCCCTCTAGCACACACCTGTAATCCCAGCCCTCTGGAAGGCTGAGGCAGGAAGACTGCAAATTTGGACCCAGCCTCGGCAACTCAGTGATTTAGCAAGACCCTGTCTCCCTGTCTCAACAAATTTTTTTTTTTTTTTGGTGGTACCCGAGATCAAACTCATGATCTTGCACTTGCCAGGCAGGCATGGAAACACTAAGCTACATCCCTGGCCCTCAAGTTTTTTTAAAGGCAGGCTTGGGGATGTAGCTCAGTATGAAAGCTGTCGGTTCAATCAATTCCCAGTACCAAAAAAACAATAATCTCTCTAGCGCCATACCATGTCATACCCTTCCTGAAAGTAACTTTGGAAACACAGATTTTCCCACTTTGTTGCATGCCCAGTGCCACCATAACTCTATACATGGTGCCCCATACAACCCCCACGCAACCAGAGCTATGCCTTAATCTGCCCCTGCTAAACCACATCCTTCTGCTAAAGGTGAGGAGCGCTTCGATGAGTGTCACCCATCTGTGTTTGTCCCTTCACAATGTGTGGGCCCCTGAGGTCAGCCATCAGTTCTTTCCTGACTTCACAGGCTGACTTCTGCAAACATCAGAATATGTGAGCACTTGTACCCAAAATGCAACTAAATACGGAGCTAAATTCTGGCCAAAGAAAACCTTGAAAAGAAAGAAATTGAATACTTACGAAGCTTTTAGAGTGGGGAGGAGGTTTTAAAACTTGATGAAGGTATAATAAATAAAATCACAGAAGAGTAGACAAATACAAGAAAGTTGATTATGTAACAAGTGTTTCAAAAATACATTCAAAGTCCGCCGTGGTGGCACACTCCTGTAATCCCAGCACTCCAGAGGCTAAGGCAGGAGGATCACTCTGAGTTCGAGACCAGCCTGGGCTACATAGTGAGTTCCAGCTCAGTCTCAACTACATAGTGAGACCCTGTCTCAAAAACCAAAAAAAAAAAAAAAAAATCAAAATACATTCAAAAAAATCATTTTACAGACAATGATACAAAGTTCAGGAAGGTTAAATCCTTTAAACAAGGATATACACATCCCTCAGTTTGCAAGGAATGAAGCTGGTATTCAAACCCACAAATATCTAACACCAAAGTTCAGAAGTCCAAGAACTGCACTTTAGTGCCCTGATCCCATGATGGCTGCGAGGACATGAGTTATACACATACCTGCACATACAGTATATATACACCTGCGTTTATATATAAGACTGTATACCCAAGCCAGGTATGGTGGCACATGCCTGTTATCCCAGCTATCAGAGAGACTACGGCAGACCAAAGGATCACAAGTTTGAGGCCAGCCTAGGCAACTTAATATCCTGCCTCAAAAAAAATTTATTTTTAGTTTCTTTACAGAGCTGGTGATGTAGTTAGTGACAGAGCACTTGCCTAGCATGCATGATACATAGTACCACCCCCCAAATATATATATGGCATCTGTCTACATGTAAATGTATTCAGACATAAATAGCGAGAAACAAAATAGTAGTAATTTTTTTTTTTTTTTTGGTGTGGAACCGGGGATCCAAATCTGGACCTTGCACCTGAGGATCCAACTCTGGACCTTGCACCTGGGAGGCAGGTGGCAGAACCACTGACCTAAATCCCAGCCCAAAATAACTGTAATTTTACAATAATTTATAAATCTATAGTGAAACATGACAAAAGAAACAAAACCCTTTGAAACAAGGAAATACAATGATAAACGAACATTCATTCTCCCTAGTGATAAAAACACAAATGAAATTGAATAAAGTACCAATTTTTACTTATCAAATGGGAAGAAAAAATAGCAGTTATCTTTAGATATTATTGGGACACTGAGACTATGCCCACCGTTTAGATGATCAGTTTGTTTCTTTATATCCAAAGTTTAAAATGTCCTGCAATCAGTTAAAGCTATTTCAGTCGCTCCACAAGCCTCAGGCCAGGTGCTGCAGGAGTAACCAGACAGGAGCGTGGGTCCTGACAACAGGAGTGGCCACGCCAGACCTGAACACAGGCCAGGAACCCATGAGGGAGAGGAGAACACATCGTCTTTAGGGTAGGGCCACTGCTGTTTGAGTTGTTATTCAGGCCAAGCCCGATCCTATTTATATGGAAGGTAAATGAGTTTCACCAGCTGGTGTGTGGCTTCTTCATGAAGTAGAGGCGAGATTACTAAACCAAGCGAGAATGTGGAAAGGAAGTGGAGTTCAAGTGGAAAAGGCATGAAATTATCACAGTGGAAAGGGGGAGACTGGAGGAACACAGCAACCCAACTGGGCACAGATAAGTTGTCATGTGTCTCCGGAAACAGACACTTGATCCATCCAAACTTCATGAATAATGTGCATTATGATACTGTTTATTATAGAAAACATGCATCCCAAACAGGAAGATAAGTTGTATTGCTTACGTTTTTAAATAGTTGGTAGGAAAAGGAGAAATATAAAATAAAGTTGTGATATTTTAATTAAAACACTGAAATGCAAAATAGTACATATACTATTATTACAACTACACAGGGATGAACACATTAAGAAAAATACCAAGTTACTACTACTTTTTTTTTTTTTCTTTTTGGTCTTTTCAAATAGGGTCTCACTATGTAGCCTAGGCTGGCCTTGAAGTCACAGCGATGGTCCTCCTTCCCCAGCCTCCCAAGTGCTGGGATTACAGGCATGTGCTACCTGGCATTAATGGCATTATTCTTACTTTCCCTAATTATGACATGGTTAAAAACTATTATTTTAAAGTTTCATGTGAAAAACTCATCTCCTTTAATAGAAAATAATCTCCTTTGTTAACCACATTGTTGTTGTTCTACAGTTCCAGGGATCAAATCCAGGGTCTTCAGCATTCTGGGTTAGTGCTCCACTGCTGAGCTACCCTCCCAGTTTAAAAATAATATTTTAAAGGCAAAATGTGCATCTATCTCTCTGTGGCCACTTATCAGCTACCGTAAGGCTGGTGCTCAGGAGTTCCTAGACATTTGCTCAGCTGACTCTGACCTGCATGTTGTTCCATGGCAAATGGTTAGTTCTTCTAAGTGGCCAGTTGCTGCAGCAGGGGTTGACCCTGCATGTGTGTAAATGTGTTGTACTGTAGGTGCCGCGTCCTTCTTGGTGCAGGGCTTCTAGTCAAGCCCAAGCCCACCCTCCACTGTTCTCATTGTCCTGAGCACAGGACGGGCAGCCAAACCTCCTGGCACAGCAGGAAGCACACTTCCCACTACAGAGAGTGAAAGGGCAGAGCGTTTACTGGGATGAGGGATCTCTGCTCACTGCCTCATGTGTTCCTTCATCTGTTCATTTATGCATCCTGGTATTTGTTGATGTCTGCTACATGGCAACACCATGCCAGACAGAGGAGATACAGTGTTAAGTGGGCCACCTACACCTCAGGGAGTTTATAGTCTGATGGGGAGCAGACATTAAGGAAGTAATTAGAATATCATGCTTGGATTCTTTGATTCCTAAGCGTGATATATGGGCATTCATGTCATGTGTGACATGTGCCTCTCCCCCAGGCCTTAATTAGGACATGGGCACATTACCCATTTGAGAAAAACAAGAACATCAAGGATAAACCTTTTTTGGGAGGCACATAGTATGCCATAGGGACAAGGAGAAAGGGCAAGCTAATCACACGGTTGTAAAGAGTAATTCATTAATGGTGCTGCCTTGGGACGTGGCAGTCCCAGCGATGACAGTAGTTCAGAAAGGCTGTGGAGCCTGGCTCAGGTGGGGCTGCTGAGGCTGTGGTCAGATCTCTGGACTCCAAGTGAAGCCATTGGAGGACTTTCTGCAGGGGAAACCATCTGATTTATGCTAGATCTCTCCAGGTGACGTGAGAACTAAAAAACAGCAGCTTCAACTCAAGGAAGCACGGAAGAGAAACTGAGCTGGAATGGCAGTGAAGCAACAGCCCCAGAAAATAACCAGTCCAGCTGGAAAGGGGGACTGAGGGCCCCGGGAAAAGGGTCTCCAGCAGAGGACGTGGGTGGAAAGGAATTTTCTAAAACACTTCAAATGCTCAAGCATTTACAAGGGAGAAAGAAAGGGTGAAGAGGTGATGCTCAAACAAATTAAAAGGGAAAAAACAGGTACTTAGAAAGACCAGGAATGGAGATGTAATCGTGATATACTAGTTAGCTTTTTTTTTTTTTTTTTGGTACTGGGAATCGAACTCGGGTCCTTAAGCTTGCAAGGCAGGCGCAGGAACCACTGAGCTAAATTCCCAGCCCACTATTTAGCTTTAAAGTAAACAATCTTTATATGTCATGATAACATAGTGATTACTGATTTCAAACGAGTGATATTTATTTAATGGTTCAGGTAAAAATGTATATCTTGCAAGAGAGAGATTATGACAGCAATCAGAATTTAACATTAAGGAGTAAGGGGTATATGTGAAATCTCTGAGATTTCTGTAAGCAGGGAATACTGTCTAACAAAAAGTTAAAACTAGAGGTATAATTATATAGGGCAGTAAAGACGGTAATATAAAAGAGTGAATCCTCTATTATAGCAGTAAGTCAGTAGATAATGTTTAAAACTATTCTATAAAGACAGAACAGTATAATCATATTTTATGAAGTAGTGGTAATTACCAGAAGAAAGCTGAAAGTTTCTGAATACTGCAGTTGAGAAAAAACATGAGGTTGGATGGAAACCTTTTGGAAATATTTGCATTTTTAAAGCATATGCTTGTATTACTATGATTTAAAAAATACTGTGTTAATCTTACCAGCCCAAAACCTTCTGTGCGTTTCTACTTGCCCAGAATTTGTCTTTAGTATGTCAGTAACAAATTTTAAATTTTTTCTTAAAAGACAAGTCCCATGCTTTGCTTATTAAATTTCTCAGATAAAATAAGACAAAGACTTTGAATAATTATTTTCATGATAGCTTCCTTTGGCTGGTCTAATTGGAGAGGGGTAAATGCCAGTGATCTCACTTTTTGCTTTTTGCCACTAGGCAAAACAATACATTATGGCCCTTCTGGTGCTTCTAGCTGCCAAATCCAAGAGGGTGTATTAAAAAAATTAGTGACAGCCAGGGATACATCTCTGGCGCCGTGCCTGCCTAGCAAGTGCAAGGTCCTGAGTTCAATCCCCAGTACTGGAAGGAAACAAATTACTAACAGCTTAAACATTGTTCAAACTAACCCATAGAATATGGAGCAGCTGTAGTGAAAACTACAGAAGAAAATTTGTTTTCTTCTACATATTAAAGAAGAAAGGAAGGAAAGAATGAAGGGAGGGAGGGAGGAATGGGAAAGAAGACCTGAAGGAAGAAAGGAAGGAGGAGAGAAGAAGAAAGGCAGGCTCCCGTACTGATCTAGAGCACCATATAGAGCAAAGCCCTTGAGCAAGTCTAGCTCTGGAAAGACCCCAGAATGATAAGATTCCAATCTGGTCAAAGAGTTGGAGTAGAAAGACAGCCTTGGGTAAACAGCAAGGTAATGAGCCTGTTCAGAGGCTGCCAAAACTTCCCCAGTGGATCCCCAGGCAGAGAGAGAGACCCCATTTAACCAAGATATAGGGTGCCGGGACATCTAGAAGAAGGCTGGTCTGGACCAATCACCATGGGAATCAGGAAGGACATCCAGGGATAGACAGGACCTCATACTCAATGGAGGAACCCCCTGGGGTGCGAGGACACTTCACCTGTCTTTTCTGGAACAGGTTCTGCAGTCAGACACGTGTGCATAGCCACATCTGAAGACCCTTGTGTCCGAGCACACCCACATCTGAAAAGCACTGTGGCCCAGCCAGTCCCCTGAACCTCTAGAAACCATATCCATGGTTATTGGCTTATTCTGAGGAAGAGCCATCAAAGTTAACCAAGATAAATTACACAGCATGGCTAAAAGACAAAACAAAACAACAAGAAACACAGCGGCAATACATAACCAGCCAACTGGCCACAAAGAAGGTACACCAAGGGCAGATGAAAGAGAAGACACGAATGTCTGCAATGGTGTCAGGCAAACTCTGCCGCACCTGATCCCAGTTTTAAAGAATACTAACCATTTCCTTGTGAAACACATCCACGAGAAGTTTCCTTCAAATAAACATTTTCACGGGGCATTTAAAGATTATTTATTATACCCTTTCATGGGCTTCTCAACTTCCCTGGGACATTCCTATCTTGGGCTTATGATTGCTGTTTTCTGGGTGTAACCTTTCCTGCCTGCCACTCTCTCTGATCGCTTGATCCTCCTCCCTAGACGAAGTCATTCACTTTGGACTTATCTCATTATTTGTCCTTGAGTAACTTTCCCCTCATTTCCTTTCATTGTCACCTGTGCTGATAACAATAGGAACAACTATAAATGCACATTATATGCCAGTCACTGTGCTAAACTCTGGTTCAGTGCTCACAAGAGTCCTATGGAGTACAAGTTGGTATCGTCCCAGCTTTTTTATGTGGAAAAATGGAGGCTTAAACCTGTCGAGATCACCCAGCTAGCAGGGGCCAGCCCACCACAGAGCCCATGCTGACAGCTGATGCCTGTCCTCTACTTCATGTGCCATGTGTTTTCTCGCCTGTGTGCCCACTCCAAAGCACAGAGCCACCTCTACCACGCCCTCAAATCCAGAATGTCAACCAGCGGGCAGCAAGTATTCACTGACATGTTTGTACTAGTTATCAACATATGATTCTTCCAGTCCCTGCTGCTGGGCACCTCTCCTCTCCCCTGGATATGCCCACCCTACCAAGACTTCCTCATGTGCAGCGGCCTGGCATGGTGCTGGGGTGGGGGCTGGTGCAGAGAGGAGTTCCAGGCTCTGCTGGCCTTGGTCCTTGCAGGTGCTGCACCTGACTAAATATTGTAAATATCACTGCCACCTCCTCCTCCACCTTTTCTCCCCAAACCAGTTCCTCCTGCTGACTTCCTTATTCAGGGGCCCACACCTCACTCTCCAGTTCCCCTTCTACAGAGCCTGCTCCAGCCCTCTTCCCTTCCCTCTGCTGTTCCTTTCAACTGACTAACCTGGCCTGTGGCTTTGATCTCTTTTATCTCTGTGGTTTCTTTCCTTTACTCTGCATCTCCTTTCCTTCCCCATAACCTCCACCCTGGAACAGACCCTTCTATCTCTGGTCCAGTTTCCTTGGCCTCTGCTGAATGCTACTCCCAGCTCCTTCTTCTTCCATAACCTTGAAGTCAGGTGTTTAAGGTCAAAAGCTTTCCTCCCCACAAGATAGCCATCTCCTAACTATGGTTGCAACCGGTGGTAATTTTACCCCTGCAAATGCCACCTCCATTAGAGTGCCTTAAACAGAAAGTACTTAATAAATTTGTATTTAAATATATCAAATCAAAGATGTAAGAAAAATTTTTTAGAGCCAGGGATTTAGCTCAGTGGTTCCGCTGCCTGCCTCAAACGTGCAAGGCCTTGAGTTCAATCCCTGGTACCAGAAAAAAAAATTTTTTTCAATTGTTTTAAATCTAGTAAATCAAGAGTGTGGTGTTGCACATCTGTAATTCCAGCAACTCAGGAGGCTGAGGCAAGAGGATTCCCAAGTTTGATGCCAGACTGGACAACATAGGGAGACTTTGTCTCAATATAAAATTTTAAAAGTGTTGGGATATAGCTCAGGGGTACAGCATTTGCCAAGCATTCAGGAGGCCTGAGGTTCAATCTCCACTATGGCAAAAGTAAACTTAGTAGACAGATGCCCACTTGTGTTTATAAAGTTTTCCTCCTTATTCAGTCCAACTTTCTCATCCTACCAGGTCCTATCTGCCTGATTCCTGGGTATACATATGTCAAGCACCACGGCAGGCACTGAGGGCTCAGCGGATGGCTACACCCATGGCTCCTCTCTAGGAAGTGTGGTTGGAGTAGAGGAGAATCAGAGTCAAATGACAGCCATGACAAAGGGGCCATGCAGACTGCTATTCTGGGACAGTCTCACTCCATGCAACTCTAGAAGCACTGGCGGAGCAGCAGGTCCCATGCAGAGCTCAGATCAGCTCTAGGGTCTTGGGACCGCTGCTTACCCTCTCCCTGCTGCTCAGCTTGCTCACCTGTACAGTAAGTGAACTACCCCCCGGGTACTTGGGAGACGTAAAGGAGTCATGCACGTGAAGTGTTTAGAGCGTTTCATGTTAGGCTTGACAGAGTGTGTACAGTGATGGCAAGGATCATCCCTTTACTATTTGACATAAATGGGCACAGGAAATTAGAGGCAGATGATAGCTTTGCAGACTGCCCTTGGGATTTCAGGTAACTTCTGGAGTTATAACCCAGAGTGCTCTCCCCAAGGCCTCCACCCAAAGTCTCTCAAGCCAGATCTCATTCTCCTCCCTCCCTGAGCACTCCTGTAAAGACATACGCACATGGAACAGCTGAGAAGGTTGGTGAGGATAGAGGCTGCAGCTCTCACCAAGCCACGCGTCCTGTTGGCCTTCAGACCCATTTGACTCACCCCTTAAATATCTGGTGAGAACCCACTACATGCCAGCCTGTGCAAGGACGCTGGTGCCCAGAGTGTGCACATTTCCAGACCACAAGTACTCATGTGCTTGTCCACCAAATCCGTTAACTGGCAAG